AAAGATTATTCACGCGCCCTCAGAATGGCCGACAATTTTGAGAAATGCTCGTTTGCGTCCAGAGCCCTACTCCGTAACGCAATTAAAATATTCAGACTTTTTAGATTTCAAGTATTTGATTGCCGAACGAAATTTGAAACTTAAAGTTTCAGATTTGAAAAGAGTTATAATGTTGAAAGATAATTATAATCTAACATATTGTACATCTTTTGTTGACAACCAATTAAAATCAATATTATTCAAATTAAAAGAAGGAGCTCCTCGTCAAGCCTATACAAAAGAGCAAAGTATCGATAAACTGAAATACGAAAATCTACAATCTTTATGTAGACAAAACATCATAAAACCTGAGTATCACCTCGAATATTTGAGTTTGAAAATATCTTCCTGAGTACCTGATGTACTCGATGAGACTGATTTTGAAGACGATAATAGTTCCTAAACTTCAACACTATTATGTGATTTAAAAAATGCCAAAGTTTAGTTACTTTAGTTATTTTTGTTATTTTAGTATTTATATTTGTTTTGCTAAAATCTTTAATTTTTTATTTTTATAATTTTTGGATAAAATAAGTTTGTTTTTCAGAAAATTGTGTTTTATATTTTTTACGTCTTTGTATTCAGAATTATTAAAGAATTTTTGTAACTTTTCTTGAAGACCTTTGTTGACCCAACTGCCCAAAAAATTTGAAACGTAATGAAAATTTGTTCGGCACATCTCCGCTCAAACGCCAAATTTAAACAATAAGTCATATAACACCCGGCACAAACACCATTTCCAATTTTTACATAAACGACAAATAGAAGACTCATTTGGCACAAACGACACTTATTTAGAACTTATTTTTTATTTTCTTTGTAATTCACGGTACCATAACAAAAATTACAAGAATTATTCCAAAAAATCAAGACTTTTAATATAAAAAATGGTCAAATATGTATTACATTTTATTACAAAACTAATTAGTTTTTTTTAATTTGCCAGCAATTTGACATTTGGCGAATGTGCCGTTTTGTCATGGACGCGTCGATAATCACTCGGGGTAATGCCATATTTACCACCTCGCTTGTAATGTATACTATTACATTTTATTAAACATAACATTTTAAAAGAGACATGCATACGTTCATGAATTTTTTATAGCACTTTTAACCATATTTTTTTCAAACACATGGTATGTTCCAAATAGTTGTATAAAGAATTTATAATTTTGTTTTCTTCTGCGTTAACTACAAACCGTTCCTCTAGTCATATTAATAACAATGAGCCATATGAACAAAGTTAAGTAAATGCTTCTACTTGTAATAGTAAAAGATAGACGTAATTTAGATTTTATGAGAAAGAAAGATACAAAACTATAGTTAAAACTTTTGCTACAGTTTATTCATACTACCCAGTAAGTTAATAACTTACATTTTTAGCTTCATTTTTGTACGTTTATGTATTTAATCCTACCATTCGATATTGAATTTTGGATGACTTAAAAAAGATTGAGAATAACAAGAAAATAAAATGGAACAATTTCATCCTAAGAAGGGTTAAATTCTAATCGGAGGCTATCTCAATGGCCAAAAACACCTGCTGCACTTGTGAAATCGCGAGCATATTCGGACACCATTTAATTACGTAACTTGTTATTGAAAGGATTTGTGTGGTTTTTTGTTTATTATTATTATTATATTTCCATTAAAATAATTGTATGAATTTATTTCTTTTATTATTAAAAAAAATATTATTTCAGGCGTCAAGCTTAACTTGCTGTTAGCTAATACTTGATGATTCCTACCACATTTTGACACAACGAAAAGAAATACTCGTAGTACAGATCTACTAAGGACAGAATTGGTGTTTTAAATAATTTAAAATGCACTGATTATGCAATTTTAGGGAATGCGTTTACATTTTATATTTCGAGCCGTCTTTGCTCATAAATAAGGCAAAGCCAGCCAGAACGAAGCAGTTAACAGATGAGCCTTATTTAATAATTCGAAGACAATTCTCAGAACTCGTTAGAATTCAATGTGGTGGTCTGAATTCAGCGCTACATGATTTATAAGGCACTAAATTTATCTCGAGACTTAAGTTGGCCGTATAATGCAGATTTCAGACAAGTCGCCGAAAAATAAAACTGAATTACACTGCGAGCAAGATGACTAATGTTTTTAATCGCCTCTACTATTTTCAGCTGTTTCATCCCTTGAGACATTATCGCCGCAAGATTAATCACCACGTGCTCCCGATAACACCTCCCATCAAACGTCGACATTATTTTAAAACGACATCAAAGCTCCATTAGAAGTTTTTGGGGCGTTTTGTATCGAGGATTTTGTCAGGGTACAATGTGGGTTTGTGTTTATTTCGAACGGGGGATTTGGAGAGGAGTTTTTAGTGGAGAATAACGAATATCGACCCCAAACCGACTGCAATAGTAATAATTCTATCAACGGCGCCCGACTGTCGGGATGTTGAACGGCCGTTCTGTTTACGGCAATCTCTGAAAGTGCATCAATAGAAAAATTGCCAGGAGAATCAGCGGTTTGGTGCGTTTGGGTGTTTTGGCGGAGGCGCCGGGTAATATTCTCATATTCACTTAACATTTAGGTTTTATTTTCGTATCATTACAAACAATTTTTCTAATTTACGAAAATTATTTTTTAGATTTTGCAAAGTAAAGAGTAGTTTTTTTTTCGGATGAGTTTTTTTATGCATTTTAGAGAATACCTATTCACTTGAATAAATACCTATTTACCGTGTGTTCTACAGAAATTGTCACAAAAAGAATTAACACCTTATTAAGTGGGTATTATGCTTCGAAATGAATTTATGAGCAATAAAATTTATGAAAATTGACAAGTCTTCTAGCTTCTGACAATAATTTAGAGTCGCAGGCCATAGTAATTAGAAATTTATTTAAAAACATGGTATATACCGGGTGACCGGTCGCAGTTGTGCACATAGGGATTTAACATGGTATAGTGTCCTTTTGCTGATTCCTGCTTGCCAACACAACCTACAAGCAAGAATAAAAATGGTATTTTTACTTTAAAATACAATTTTCAAATTTAGCAAAACGTGACATAAGTACGCGGTACTTGTTATCTAAAACGTCAAAGTTTTTTTTTTGTTTACATATTAAACGATATTTTTTTCTAGTCTTTTTTATATACCTCATCATCCAGAAGCACATCTTTGTCTTGGAAAACAAGACTTGACGCCCGACACCGTTTTTGGACTTTTCTTGCTCTGCATTGTATCTCGGGAATTGTTTTTTTTTATTTTGGTCATTGCTCACAGTCAAATTTAGAAACTGCTTGCCCCAACGAAGCTTTATGATTCGTTATTTCAGACGAGAGTTAATCAATCATTCTTTCGATAAAATTGCACTCTCATGAATACATACTGATCGTGAATATCTCTTTACATTCACATTTCTTCATACCTTGATATGATGCGGTATGTAATTAATTATTTGGTGTTTTCTTGAGAGCGGCAATAGATTTGAAACCCATTATTTATAAAGCTTGATAATGCGAAATCTGAACATTTTTTCATTTTCGTTCGTTATGAATCACTTTGAGAACCATTAAAATATTAGTATTCTAAGTCATATTGACAATACCCTACTTATTTCAAAATTTTAGAACAGTCTACTCATAAACATACAACGCGCAAAAACTCGCGCCCCAGAGAAAAATGCCATATAAGGTAAGATACCAGGAACATGGAAAAAATCTTAAAAAAACTTTATTTTTAATTTATTTCTTCCAACACTGTTTATATGGTGCATTTAAGCTTACCTTTTATGTTGCTGTTAATATACCCTCTCCTACAAAATACGTCGTCAATCACATCGTATTTTATAAGTACATAAAATACTGGTATCCTGGCATTTTGTTCATTCTAACATTTTTTTTGAAAATTTTCTTTAGAACATTTTCTGAATTTAGCAAAATTTCTGATCCAAAATTAGTGTTGGAAATTTTTTTTTAAGACAACACGAGTTAAAACTTGTCTCAATTGCTATAATTTTGTGAGAATTTTGGTCGAACATCCGTTATGAAATAAAAAATTGTTATCGTATCTATTAGAGTTGAAAACGAATTGAGTTTTCGGTTGAATACTTGAAAGTAATTAATAGGAATTACATTTGAAATCAGTAGTGCACAAAACGAACAACGAAAAAGGTGTTTCGGAAAATTCCGATAGGATTAATATCAAGCCATCACAGAATAAACAGACAAAGTAGCACGTAAACAATTAAGAATTAATCCTTTTTTTACCAATACCAAATAGTATAGAATTTAGGTTTAAAAGTTACATTACCTGGAAAATTACTTTTTTCGTTCAAATGGTTTAGTTACTAAATTGTATTTATACAATCCGTTCAGCGAAAAAAGAATTTGTCGTATGTTTGTACTGTTTTTTACTTTTTTTTAGATTTGGAAATATCAGTAAACGTTCTATCTTGCTATCTTTAAAACTTTAAAAAAAATCTTCTTTTCAACGTTTTAATCTAACATATCGCAATAACAAGTGTTTTGACACGGAACCTCATACTTTTCAGCAGTTTGTTTAACATAATGGAAACACTTAACTCCCGTTCTGTTTCTACTTTTTTTTTTGTTACGGTCGAGTATGCTTTTTTAAAATTATTATCTGACGGAATTCTATCCTTTAAAGCCAGGGCACCTTACTGAAACATTATTTCAACGAAATAAATTTAAGGAAGCATGCAGGAAAAATGCGTCTGTTACTCCCGGAAAGCTATAAACTTAGAAGATAACAATCGGTCTTATTCCGAAAAGTTGGCTGTGTTGCCTAGGATACAGGACGACGTCGCGACGCCTTCAAAATATCCACCTACAGACGTGTTTTTCTTTACTGGAAACTGTAAATTTTGAAGCTTCCTCAGTTCATGAGTGCAAGTACATGTGGAATTAGGAAATTAGAAGAGGGGATCTTGTGGAATGTTTGCAGGAGAGATTGTGTTAGTTTGTAGTTTGTGGTCAGTGACAAGGTCGCTGACTTGAGGAAGGTTTAGTTAACTGTTAACTGTTTGTGATCTCTATGGATTTGCGTCTGGGTTAATATTGTGTCGAATTTACACTCTATAAACCAAAATCAAGATGATTAGGTAAGTAAATGTGTTCACTTGCTATTGTAATTAATAAATGTTTGAAACTTTTAATACACAAATTTATTTTTCGTATTAATTTTGAACTTTTGAAGAATATTCAACTTTATGTATATAAATGTTGTAAAAGTTCACAGTTTTAAATATATGTTTTTAAACGTATTTTTTGACCTTGAAGATGCTGGTTATTACTGCTTGTTTTTAACTAATTGTAGCATAGAAAAACCTTGTTCGCTATAATCCTATATAATATGCAATTCACTGAACGTAACTGTCTAAATGTTGAATATGATTTTTAAACTCTTTACTTATTCTTATTAGTCAACGAGCTGAATCATTCTTAAAGCATCTGAGTCACATATTGTTTCTAAAAGACGTACAGAAACAAAATCTTTTACAGGCTGCTTATTGTATTGCATAGAGATGATCGAGAACATAGTTGGCATAAGTCTACGAGCACTTTATACCCGTGAAAGTATTTCAGAGTTATTTTTAACAATATTTTATGCTTTTATATTTGATTATTACTACAATGATATTGTATAAAAACTACAAGCAGTATCCTTATATTTACTTTTGCAACTAAACGTTATGTCGACACATACCTACACATTTTATTTAACTAAGAAAATAAAAAAGTGGTATTTATTTTGATGTAATTGACGAAATTCATTAAATAACAGAGTATTTTTACATGTTTCATATATAACATTTGACTAATCGTCACCGTCAGATGATTACATTTATATCCAAATCAGATTTATTTTTAAATAGTATAATTAAAAGGGTAACATGCATGTTTCCCATGTTTTACTTCAGTCTTCCCTAAATAAGTTTTCAGTATGTTTAACACAATTTTCCCACATTTCGATAGTAAGATTTTTCGAGGGTAAGATTTTTGGTAGTTTTTGTAGAAACTCCCAGAAAATCTAAAATTCGAGACATTTTTGCTACAGTAATTTTTGCAAAACCACAATTTCAAACCAATTGTATAACAAAAATATGACGTTAAGTTGTTATAAGGTAAGTACTTTACAATAATAATAAAACAAAAGAAATAGCACAAAAACATGTGGTTTTCATAGCAAATTGTCTGTAGGTACCAAATTCATAAAACTCATTAAAAAGTAATTAAAGAAAATCAAAAAAAAATTTAATCTTTGGTGCCCTCTAACTTTTAAACGGCACAATTTGGTATGTAGGCTGCCCGGAAAGTCGCGCACTTCCTTGAAAGAGAGTAATTGGATAGTCCCCCAAGGTATTGAAAAAATGTTTAAAAAAATTCTATCTGTCAAAAAATTTCGACATTTGTTTTTTGACATTTGACATTCTTTCATGTCTATTTAATGATACTGATGATCTTGTATATGTTTTTTTTTTAATTATTTAGTAAAAGTACAAAAATTTTGCCATTAAAACCCACAAATAAAACTAAACAGAGTTACAATTTAGGATACATCTTCCTTCTTTCCTCTTGTAATAATAGCCTGTAGCAAAAAAACTTGGAAAATTATTTTTCCACAGAAAGTGCAAAATTTAAACTCTCATAACTACGAAATTTTTGTAGATAGATTTTTTTACATTTTTCTTGTTGTCTAGGGCATCACCCGATAATACAATGTCACAAAGGTGCGCAACTTTCCGGATCCCCTGTATATTAGAGGTAAGTTGCACTAAATCTCTTTATTTTGACCTGAGATATCTCAGGTTACTTTTTGTGTCCATCTTTTCGTTACACTCTGTATTATATTTTAGATATAAGTACCTTATAACACAATGTAAGAATATCTGCTACAATACAGCACTGTTAATTTCGTTTTACATTTGGCAAAGAAAAGAAAATCCTAATTAGTTTAAGTTAATTTTCATTCATCTTTATATGATTAATGGGTTTTTTATGTTTATTAGAATGATTTTTGACAAAATTATTGCTTCCTCAATTTTGTGGATCTTGTTGGAATATTTATGATATGGTCTATTTCTTTTGCTGGCAGTTTTACAAACCCACTTATTCTTCTTGAATAAGATTATCTTGGCAACTGTATCCCATCAGTTTTTATGTACGGCAATTGAACAGAGTTTCCTTGTTTTTTGTCCTTAGATACTTTTTACAATAAAATAAAACATTGTAACTTATTGTTAGAGTGATCTCTATTTGAGGCGTTTGGAATTAGAGTGGACTAATCTACATAATAATTACACTGGCCTAATGTTTTAAAGAAAGATATTAACGTAAAATGACTGTATTTGAAATAAAATAAAATTTCAACTTTTATTAGGATTTCGCCTAATTAGGCCACTTCAATTCTCAACGCCTCATTTAACGTATTCGTTCTCCGTTATCCTATCACGCATTTGTTCAACAAATTTTGTAATAATGTATTACTTGTATGAATTCTCATGGATTACTTTGTATTCGAATTTGGTGTTTTGAAATTACTTTGGCGAAAAAAGCTAAACTTTTGTGCGTAAAAGAGCGGAATTGTGATAGAAGAACTTCAAAACGACGCGATCAGTATTTCTAAATATTGCTCTCCAGAGAGCGATTTGGTGCAAAACGAGCTGTTCTCAATTAGCATGATGTAATGTCGCTAATCAAATTCCGCTAATTTAATTCGCTTTCATTTAACAGAACAAGATTGTTGTATTTATTGATGGTGACAATGTAATAATAATCTGCAGATATTTATGCATTTATTACAGATTTTTTGATGACAGGGAATTATTATAATTTGTTGCTTAATTCAACGATACTAAATATTAGTTTAGTCTAGGCTAGAACTAAGACCAATAATCTAGAAAACAAAGTTAGAAAACTTAGATATAATTTAATAACGTAAGTTACTCTGATTGTTTGTGGAGACTTGTGGAGAGATACTTCCAATAATCAATTTAGACCACTTCGTATACGGAAAGTCGATGCTTCGTCGTCAAATAAAAACGCTAAAATCAATATAACTGTGTATTGTAATTCTCAAATGTGTAATAAGTGGTAACAATTTGTTTTCCCTTTTTTAGTATTCTTTTATTTACGTAAGTATGATTGGAGTTTGAATATAGCTTAATATTCAATGAAATTGGGGGATTTGACATAAAACATAAAAATTTCAGGCATATTCATCAATGCGGTTAAAATTTTTAATAATATAGTCAGGTTTACACATCTTTAGTGATTTAAGATTGATTTTTTTTTATGGAATCTGTTCAGTCGTTGTAACATACTGAGCGAATCATGTATTTGATAACTTCCATTTAATATTATTTTAAATTGCAAAAATATTAATAAAGAGTACACGATTTACGCTCACTTTGTTATGCAGTAATCAAGTAATATTTATTGCCATTGCCGAACTAAATATCTCGGAATTACATTATTTCGTGTAATTTCATGTATTTTCCGAAAGGTGCAATTACCCAAACTCATTAATTTCTAAGGCCGTTCTTCCGCAAGCTCGTTATATCACAAACATTTTGTTGCACGACACGGCGGTTTAACCTGGATATTTCTTGTCTGTGATGTGGTCCGTAATTAATTACCACAACTGCACATCAGCTTTGTGTAAGAGACAGTCAGTTTGACGTTCGTTGCAATTTCCTTGGTTGCTGTGTTCAGATATTGAATAAGTCACATTAATGTAATGTTTATAACATTAATTTTCAATTATAATTTATAACTTTTTTAAACTTGGGACAAAACACCTAGCCTCATAAGGATTCATATGAACTTGGAACTATTAATTTTTCAAAAATAACATTTTTCGAAATTTCTTTTAATTTTCGAGTTTTGGAAAAAAATAAATAAATGACAACCCACCATGAGAATTCTTTTCATTAAAGATTATGATCTTACTTCTACTTAGATAAAATTGTTTTTCAGTCAGTACTTTTTTTTAATAAATTGTTAAAGATGCGTTCCGAGCTCATCACGAAGATTTTCCGAACTTAACCGAAGTGGTCATTTCATGCATGTGATCATGGGAGAGTCCTGATTTCTATGCAGGTACATACTTTGTGGTAGTTTCGAATACTAAAAATGGAAGAAAATGAGTTTTTATTGGATTTTTTTATCCATCCGGAACCACCCCAAAGCACCTGCACAAAAGACCGGGCTCTCCAACGACCACATGCATGAAACAACTCCTTCGGTTGAGTTCGGAAAATGCTCGTGATGAGCTCGAAACGCGACTTTACTAATTTATTAAAAAAAAATACTGGCTAAAAAACAATTTTATTTAATTAGAGGTCATTTTTAGATCATAATCTTTAATTAAAAAAATTTTCATGGTGGGTTGCCATTTAAAAAAAAAATTCAAAACTCGAAAACTAAAAGAGATTTCAAAAAATGTTATTCTTGATAAATGGTCTTGTTGATGGTACTTTAACTACACTAATTATTTTTTTCGTAAAGTGGTTAGTTTACGAAAAAATGCTTGTTTCCATAACTTTTATTCACCCGGTATAATCAAAAAGGCCTTTTACCTAAAATCCGGTTTCTAGTGATGAGTACAGATCAGTGATCAAGATTATCCATTGTTTCATTATCGTTATTAGTTACTACGAATTACCAGTTTTTCTACAATTTCTTTTTTTTAATATATCGGATGGCTAGAAAAAAACGAATCTTATTTAAGTCCTTACATCTCCAGAGCGTTTTGAGGTGACATAGTCAACTTCGGATAAAACTGAAAAAATAAAAGGTTGTGGTAGATACTTCTAACAATTTCAGTATATTGATGAAGTGTTTTTAAGTGTATATTGCTATCTAACTTATTCACGTTTCTCCTTAAAGATATTACTTTGAGTAAAACAATGGGGAAACTCTGTAATTTAGACATCTAAAGCTAAACAATTTGCTCATAAGAGTCATAAGTAATTATTCGTTACTTATGTTTTATTTGTTGCCTATGTTAATGTTTTATCGCATTGAGTAATTGTTAATTATACAGGGTGCGCCAGAACTCGCACCCCAGATGAAAATGCCATCCATGTACGGTACGATACCAGGAACATGGAAATAATGTTAAAAAAAAATAAGAGTTTAAATTTTGTTGGAAAAATAATTTGTCAAGTTTTTTTGCTACCGACTATTACGTATAGAAGGGGAAACAAGGAAGTTGTATCCTAAATTGTAACACTGTTCAATGATGTTTGTGGCCTATATTGTAAAAATTTTTGTACCTTTACTAAATAATTGTAAAAAAAAGACATAAAATATAATCTTGCTTGGCATTTTTTTGAGGCGCGAGTTCTGACACTGTGTATGAGAAGAAACGTAGATTATTAAAAATAACAAAGCCTCCCGTGCAATACATAATCGATGAAACTTTGATAATAGCTTTACAGGTTTCGTTTTCTACAAATCCTCTTTCGATATAAATAAATGCAAAACAGATAAACTTTTGACAAACACATAGTTCCTGCATTCCTCGCTCAGTTTTTGTAAAGAATAACATCACCAGTTCTCGTAAAACGAGATAAGTGAGGTTTAGTCTTAAGTGTAAAAGAATTATTTGACGAGGTCGACTGGCCGCTATTATGAACAGTAATTGTTTCCAATTTTTCATTCTTTCGCATTTATTATTTTGAAACAGATGGAGTAATTTACAATTGGGCGCAGAAAGACATTAAACATTGTAGCTCATATATCCCGGCTTTTCTTCCAATAAAATTGACCTGATGGAATCAATAAAGTTTGGAATGGTGTGGTCAGTTTAATTAATGAAGGTTAAAGTTTGCACTTGATCTCTAGTCGACTGAGGTTGAATTTGTACATGGGAGTCATTAAAAATATGTTCAGACCACTTCCGAGTTCAATGATTGCGTCGATTCTTGGCGAAAAGCGGAATGAAAGCACGTTCACGCTTCGAGTATGTTGTTAGAGACAATTTAGTAATGATATAAACTACATTTACGTTAGACAGATGGTGGATGTCGACCATTTTAATAATGTTCGCTTAAATTGACGCCTGACATATTTCAGCACTTTAGATAATAATAAAAATGAGATTGTTGGGATGGCAGCTATGCATTGTGCCGCTGTTACTTTTACAACTAATTTTGTTGTATCGTAGCACTTTAATGAAAAAAAAACTCTTCATAAGCATAAAGTCGTGTACTGGCATATTTTAAATTATTACCGCTTTTTGGATAAAACACAATGCGTAATAATCGTGAAATTGTTCAAGAGAAGAGAATTTAACCGTGAAATAATCACAGTGAAATAAACATTTAAAGTGACTGATAAAGAGAGACATCTTATTGTGGGAAAAATCAATAGGGGATGATTCAGGCTTTTGATACAACTAATTTTATGCACTTATTTATACTGCATGATATTTACGGACACTCGTAGGTTTTACTATAAAATAACTATTTTTTTTTAGTTCCAGTCATCCTACGCTGAGTCCGACGTCGGTAGTTTTTTACTCGATACATACACTACAAGGAGTTTGTTTATGGTAAGATTATGCTAATCAGCAGCATTTTTTTCTTCTACCGGGTGACTATTAATGTTTGTGACAAAAAAATCTATTGGCAACACTGAATTATCGCTAATCCTTATAATTTGTTATATCATAATATTTCAGATGACGGCTAAACCAGCAGTCGCCCGTGGCAAATGAATGACGATGTCCTATAAAAGTTTGACATTTGGATTTCAAAGTCAAAGTGCATTTACAGTCACCCGGTAGTAATTTTATTTTCATATTGTTATGCTATCGTACTTTTTTTATACTATACAGAGTGAATTTAATGGTTGCGTACATATTAAAAAAAAAGTCTTAAGAACTCCGTTTACCTTATCCGGTTTCAAGACATAAAGAATGCAAATACCTTTGATTATGAATTTTGAAAATCTGTATAACTCGAGAGAGTTTTATTTACAATTAATTGTTGTTGCTCAAATCCTAAACGTCACGCACCAAATTTAAATTTATTCGCATACTGTATATCTTGAAAACTATCTATATTCGGTTAAAACAAGTTCGAACAACAAGAATTATTTTGTTTTCTTTTGACCTCCACTATCAGTTCACCCCTTACAATTTTGTACAACTATTAAAGTCACTCTGTAATATCAATAAAAGTTTCGTTTAAAATCGTTATCAATACAATGTATTTATACAATAACTCTACTAAAGAATAATTTCAGAATGTTATTTCTTATTAATACATAGAATAGAATCGCAGCTATTTACAAGAGAATAGTAACTGGAGAAAACCTGAAAACTACTTAGAAATTTCTATATACCATCTAAACACGCAGTCTCTCAGGAATAAAATTCCAGAATTAAATGCATTATCAAGTATTGTGTGTTTCTGAGCACTGGCTCGACGAAAATGAAATCAATTCTGTACTAATTGATAATTTTAGTCTCAAATCTCACTACTATAGATCTTCGCTGGCACATGGAGGTGTATCTATATTTTTACAGCCCTGTGTATCTAATTTATTTACATCTAGGTGTGTTCTAGTAAAATTTAGTGTGAAGAGAAGCATTGAAGTATGTGCAATTGAGTCTGATTTTTTCAACATTGTAATTGTTGCTATTTACACATCACCAGAAGGCAACTTTAAAGTTTTTATAAAAAATATGAATGAAATATTTGAAACTCTATGTAACACCACAAAAATCGCTGTTATTACAGGTGATTGGAATATTAATTTTGGTAACCAAAATGCTAAATTTACTGAGTTTTCTGACTTGTTTCTTACATATAATTTGGATTACACTATTTATGAAAACACTCGTTTAAAGTCATGCATAGACAACTTCATTACAAACTTAGACACCACATATGTATACAGTTTTACAAAAAAACTTTAATATATACATGGCATAGTGTGGACTATGAGATACCTCCTAGACAAGCACCCAGTAGAACATAAATTTATGCAACCCATAAAGGTCTCTTTTATTTTTACCAACGTATGGAAACTGTTGAGTGGTCATTTGTAAGTGACGACTCGCTATCATTGGATCAAAAATTCAACAGGTTTTTAAATATCTTGTCATCCGCCGTTGATCAAATCTTTCCAACACGTAAAGTACAAAACAAATGAAATAAGCATACAGTGTGTTGGTTTACCAATTAACTTTCTCTCTGAGTTATATAAACTCACAAACAACCCTAAGGTTTTCACTCAACTTAAACAATACAGAAGCTTCTATAGACAATTCTATAGACAAAAAAATGCTCACGATCGGTAAGTAGCAAATTCAAAAAATAAGCCACACACAATGTGGAAATCAATAAACAATTTAAAAGGTACTACTGTAACAAACACTACCATTAATTTCACAAAAGAGCAATTTAATACATACTTTGTCAATGTAGCAAAAGAATTAATTCAACATCTGTCGTTCGCAAATGATCATAACTTATTCCCTTTATACACATAGAAAACTTTGCTTTCAAAGAAATTACTTTTAACGAAATAGTTAATAATATAAAAAACTCCTCTTCAAAAGACATCTACAATCTTAACACAAAACTCATCAAATGTATCCTCAATATAATCATTTGTCCCCTAACGACCTTGTATAATCAATGTATCAAGGAAGGGAAATATCTATCTGCACTAAAAAAAACTAAAGCTATACCGATTTTTAAAGGTGGACATAATAAAATGATATCCAGTTATCGCTCAATATCAATAATCCCAATTCTAAGTAAAATACTTGAAAAAGCACTCCAACTGCAATTGGCAGGTTATCTAGAAGTACAGGTATTCTTACATCGACTCAATTTGGCTTTAGAAAAAATAGATCATCATCACTGGCAGTGGCTCAACTTCCTTCTAAAATGTGCAGTGCTTTATTATCGTACTATCCGACAGATACTCCTATCAGTTAGTAAATATAGAACAAAAAACATCAGATTATCTCCCAGTTGTATTTGGAGTGCCTCAAGGTACCGTGCTTGGTCCCATTTTATTCCTCAAATGCAAGGTGATTTTTTTAGGCTCTACATTAGAAACTTTTTAACATCTAATCCAGATAGGAATTTGAAATTTTGTACACAACCCAAATTGACCAGTCTAAGTTCAATTAATTTATTTTCAAAATGGCTGAACTTCCGGAACTACGAGAAATTGGCGCCAACTTTGAAATTTTAAATGGTAACCACTTATTTTTATTGCATTTTTGAATTCTCCTCTCCAAACTGAGTAAAATGTACTTAGTTGTTAGTACTTATCTGTCATAGTTTTTGACATATGTCAATTTTTTGGTCAAAATTTTCATTTGCAGAGGTTCATTTAAAACATCTTAGCTCTTGAACCCTTTGCGATAAGTGAATAATTTTTGTTGCATTCGATAACCAAGGGTTCGAAGAGTTTTCTAAAATTTTCAAAATTGTCAACTGTCAAATTGCAAAGCTAATTTGATTTTTTGAAAATGATAATTAACAAACAGCTATAACTCAGTTTTTTCATATAAAGTGACCCTATTTTCTCAACGGCAATCAAAAGTACATGGATTTTACAGTTTCTGAAATAATCACGAAAAACGTGTTTTTCTTTTTTATTCTTATAGTTAATCACGTAGGCTTTGGAAAATAATCAATATGTATTAAAGATTTAGTCTACACAACACGCATCCGGAATTACAAAGAATTGAGGCAAGGATTAAGGCGGCATTTAATAATCTTTAACCAAATGAAATAATGGAAGCCACTCAATCAATTCACCCTCGAGTTTTAGACTGTTTGAAAATGGTAAACATATCGAACATCTGTATTTAGTTATGGCATATCTTTATTGTATTTTTCCAAAGCTTATGTGATTAACTATAAAAATAAAAAACAAAGACATATTTTTTGTGATTATTTCAAAAACTGTAAAAGATAGGTATAGGACATGTTGATAAAGATTCTTCTACAAATTGATATACTTTTGATTGCCGTTGATAAAATAGTCATTTCATTTAAAAAAACTGAGTTGTAGCTGTTTGTTAAAGATCATTTTCAAAAAATCATACTAGCCTTGCAATTTGACAGTTGACAATTTTGAACATTCTATAAAACTCTTCGAACCTTTAGTTATTGCATGCAAAAAAAAATATTCACTTATCGCAAAGGGTTCAAGAGCTGTGATGTTGTGAATGAAACCCTGCAAATGAACATTTCGACCAAAAAATTGACATATGTCAAAAACTATGCCACACAAGTACTAACAACTAGATACATTTTACTCAGTTTGGAGAGGAGAATTCAAATATGCAATAAAAATAAGTGGTTACCATTTCAAATTTCAAAGTTGGCGCCAATTTCTCTTAGTTCCGGAAGTTCTGCCATTTTGGAAATAATTTAGTTGAACTCAGACTGGTCGATTTGGGTTGTATACAAAATTTCAAATTCCTATCTGCATTAGAATTTAAAAAGTTTCTAATGTAGGCCCTAAAAGAATCACCTTGTATATAAATGACATCGAAAGTATACTATCTTGCGATAATCTCGTACTGTATGCTGATGACACTAATTACTTTGAAAGTAATAAAGATTTAACAACATTAGTTAACAACATTTATGAGTCCAAGCATGTTCTTATAACGGGTGTTTATTGAGATTTGGCGTCAATTAATCTGACGTTTGACACTTCGCCGGGCTTATTAAAATACACTAACAGTCACCGACAACTATGACGCCAAATTAAAAAAAACACACCCTTTATAACCCGACATTTTTCAAAAACACAAATGTTTTATGTGCCACAAAGTAGAAGAACAGTCAACTTTGAGAATTTTTTATTAAGTTTGCTAAATTGCATAAAAATTGCACGAGTCCAACTTGAAATTCTCAGGGTTTTTAAACATCTCAATGAACCGGTTACATTTATCTTACCTTGAATTCGAATCAATACTTTTACGTAATTAATTCACAATTAAAAAATTTTCATCTAGGAAATGAAGGGTGTAGGTGAACGGAAAGTTACTTTCTATCAGATGCAAATTGAAACCCACCTAATATGCGTTAGATTTCGAATATTATGACAGTATTTTATTATACGTGGATTATAAAACGATGCGACAGTAAAACCAATGTTACAATCACATCTCCTTTATCACATAGTGTTACAGCATATTCTAATGACAATGCAATTCGTCCACTAACGAGCTAACAATTACGGCAGAGTGAGCTCTGATTTCTCTACTATTCCGACAATAGTAATTTAAGACCGGGGCTTTACGTTTCGATGGGAATGTACGAGTACTGCTATCAGAGGTACTTAGGCTCAGTGACTTGAAACTCCTGATCTATTTTATTTTGTACTAAAACTGCGAATAATCAATTAAACACTTCCGTAAGTGATTTAAATAATGCAATGAAAGACATTGTAAAAATTCCCATATTTAGTTAGATTGTTAATATACATTTGTATTATTATACAGGGGTGATTCTTAAATAGACCGACAAAATTTTATCCTTGGTAGTATCAAATGAGTACATGCTGGAATAGTATATTAAAGTACAAGTTGCAGAAGGTATCTATTCAAGCACAAATTTGAAATTCCGAAATGAGCCGCGTAGCGGCGAGTTGAGGAACAAATGAGTGCTTGAAGAACCTTCTGCAACAAGTGCTTTATACTATTTTTTCTATTTTGTATTTTGCCGCTTTATATCATTTTATAAATTAAAAAACGAAAATTTAATTTTTTTTCTAGAGAATTTTGCGATTTTGATTTTAGGCGGCTGTACAAAATAAAAACAATTCATATTTTCACATTTGAAAATGAATTGTGAAGAAAGTCCGTCACTAAAATTAAATTACCGCGAACGACTTATTCCAGCACTCAAATGATGTCATTTGGGTGATGGAATAGACTTATTCTAACACCGAAATAGAAATAGTACATTACAAGCGAGGTGATAAATATGGCATTACCCCGAGTGCTTATATATACGATCGAGACGCGCTAGCCTTGAGATCGGATAAAGCACAAGAGGTAATGTCATTACCACCGAGGTTTGTATGCTATTTTATTCACAATCACATTATTTTAAGTAAAAAATTTGAGTAAAATAAAATTCTAACAAAGTTAAGGTCCAAACGTGGTAGGCCATCCAAATGACGTTTGATTTTTGACATTTCAGAAATGTCAAAGAAAATATTGAATTAATGTGTAAATCTGATTTAAAGTCGTCGAAATGGAGCAATGTACTCCCCCCAGAATTAAGAGAAACTGCTACAAAAGCAGGTGAATACTAATTTAGCGAAATATTATGCGTAACTTGACAATTTAAAAGAAAAAATTTCCGGTATTTTCGTAATTTTAACCTTGGCAATCCTGCATATTGCCACCCAAGAGGAGTAACATTTATTACTCTTCATGAGAAATAATGATATGTTTCCCAACGTTAAAAAGGTTAGTAATCGGCATATTACATTAGTGATTGTGAATAAAAAATATTTAAAAAATTCTTTATTTAATCGTTCTCCAAGTAAAATTTATTAAAGTTATTTTCGAGGTAAAGCGTACGCCACTGATGTGTTTGTGAATAGTATTAGCACAGGTAGTGGAAACCCTGGTATTAATTTGATCAAAATGTACTTGATCATTGCAACAATTCATAAACGCCGTAAGTGGCACGGATTAAGGGGTTTTTGCCCCTAAAAGATATATGTAAACGTAAAAAGGGTACAGTTTGTCTTCATTTATCCTTGAGAAGCTGTGATAAAATTTTGTCAGTCTATTTAAGATTCACCCTGTATTATAAGCATGGAGGATAAGCGAGATGAAAACATCTATAGATGTAAAACTGTTAGAATTATTAGCTTTGTTTCTTCGTTCTTGCAAAATTTGTTCCTACCCTATCTCTATTGTTCGTTACTGACATTAATTAAAAATCACAACTAATCACAAAATAAGCTTATGGTTAAAACCACAAACGTGTTTTCTTTGTAGCTATATATTTTATGTTGACACTGATTATAACATTTATCGAAAACAATAAAAGCCTAGACCAGCATTTGCATTAACAAAACAGGTACAGTTAAAGTATAGTTGAAATACCATCGAGCGATCAAGATAATTTGTAATCGAGTCATCTTTGGATCCGAAAACGTATGTCTGTAAAATGTCAAGTAAAATGACATTAATAAGACGAGGTAGCGAAGTAAGACGGGAACCCACTATATCTCAAAAACAACAAACAGTTTTAATAAAACTACTAACGTCATTTTATGCGGCAAACCCGAGAACTTGAGCATAAAACATGACGATGCTATAAGTAAAAAACGATTTTTAAATTATTTACACTCAAGTAATTGGTTTTACCTTGACACAAAGATGTAGCTAAATATATTATAAAAATAACTCTGATACAGGGCGATTCAGATAAGATAATGAGCCTGACGATCTGGCGATGCAACCCAAAAAACAAATTTCATTTTACTTATAATATAATGTACTATTAGTCAATATTCACTATTTCAGTTGGATGAGTATAATCTATCTGTCACTTTGACAATTAATTTATTAATTGAATAATAATAATTCTTGTTAAAAATTAACTTGCTCGTTTCAGGTTTACCTTTTGCTTTAGCAAAAAATTTTTTTCCTTTGCAGTTTGGGCGTAAAATCAAAGATACATTTTTTTCCTCTTGTAAACTCAATTCGGGGACATACTGTATATTTTATGCTTTTTATACAATTTTGTGACTAACCTCCGGGTGGTGTATTGTTAAATCATATGATTACCCGCAAGTCAAACTCGCAGATAGAGAGAAATGAGCATTACTTATCCAAAAATTTACGCTTGATGAGAATTTTTAATGTTATTTCATTGGTATAGAAAAAGATTTCTTCCGTCATACATCCTACTTTTCTAAACAAAACCTTTTTCATTTGCCTAATAGCATAAAATATACGCATACTTATCCCTAATTCGAACAGGACACTCTAACTTAATCGATTTAAAATATACTCGCAAAATCGCAAATGGCGTATCCGCAATCAGAACACGTTTTAAAAATAACCACCAAACCGAATCGAGCGTATTCTATATTTAGTAACTCCTACTCAATGGAATAATAATAATATTAAGCAACAGAAAAAGACAAGCACGGAGCGCAGTTTTAATCCACTTACACTTGAGCATGAAGAGGTATTTGAACCATTTGCTTTTTGCACGTAAAGCAGTTACCGTTCAACAATAAGAAAGTACATATTAAGTGAAATTTATCATAACTGGAACAACCCGAATCGATAAAAATTAGAGTAATTTAATTAAAAAGGTGAGTTTATAATGCAGGCATTATTGTTAAGTTTAGAGTGTCGGGATTATTAGGGAAACAATATTAATGATGTCTGCACAATTACAGTGATTGGACAGACTTAATGAATACACGAAATTGTCCTTGAGAAACTGCTGCTGCACTTATGACTAACAGATCAATCCCAGCTCACATACTATTGTTTTGCACATAATATTAAAAATAATACTTTGTTTTATAGTGGCGATATTTATATAATTTTGTTTTTCAGAGATGATCACCGAATTGACAGTGACCTGCAAGAAGAAGATGAATGATCTCACGTGTTTCGTGCGTTTGTTCGGTTTGAACATTTGTTTTGGATTTGTGATATTTTTCTCAATTTGTGTGCATTTGTTAAATTGTGTAAGTCATGACAACGGTAAGCGATACAGGTACACGATATTCTAAACGTACTTTAAATCCTAGGTTTAGTAATAGTGAATGTTTAATTTGTGTTACCAAAAGTATTATTGCCATTTATTTATTTATAGGTAATTTATTACAAATGTAAAATAAACTATTATTTTTGTACTGGCACTTGGGTGTTATTTTTAACCTTCCATTTAACTTGATGTGACAATATTAACAAAAATTCGAAGTCTGATAGACTCTAAATTATTATTAAATTCTGCACAATTTACTCAAATCACTGAGCAGTTGCACAATAGTTAAAAATTATTTTATAAAATTTATTGCAAGTTTACGTAACCTTTCTGTAATACAGGAAATTTGCTTAATGTAACCATGGAAAATTCTTTAATGTAAATGACCTTAAATTTCATTAAAAAGTTCAGATGAACAACACAGCTGCTGTTCTCAGCCCTTCCACTCGAACCTTACAAAAAAGAAAAATACAGATAGATACCAGAAACATGGAAAACGTTAAAAAATTGTATCTATAAAAATTTCCAAGTTATGAGAGTTTAATATTTGCACTTTGACTTTAATTATTTCTGTTGAAAAAATAATTTTCCAAGTTTTTCTGCTACAGCCTATTAGAAGATGAAACAAGGAAGCTATATCCTAAATTGTACTACCTAACTCTGTTTAATGTTATTTGTGGCTTTTATTAGCAAAATTTTTGTACCTTTACTAAATAATTATAAAAAAAACATATAAAGGATTATCAGTATCATTAAATATATATAAAAAAAATGTCAAATGTCAAAAAATAAATGTCAAATTTTTTTGACAGATAGAATTTCTTAAACATGTTTCTGGTATCTTTTCTTACTTGATTTTTTTTTCTGGGGCGAGAATTCTGACATACCTGTATAATAAAGACCCTAACCGATTTTTAGACGCACATCTCTGTTTGAGATGTTTCAAAGATATAATCATAGATATCTGTGATAGCTTTTACAATTTTTATAAATTGGCGTCCTACGGTGTACATACAATGATAGACAGTGAATTTCGTCCTCCCAATTTCCCTGACAGATTAAAAGTGTAAATTAGTCTTTAAGTTTTCCTAACCTTGTTTCAGAATTTTGATTAACGTTTGTCATGTTGACAGAATGCTCGATGCTTCTTGCTACTTTTAACCTTTGTCCTTTGAAATGGTAGTCCTTGGTATGCCCAAAAGTATAGAGATACGTCTTTGAGACATATATTCTTGTATCAGAGAGATAATTTTTATTTTATTAAACGCACTTACTGCTGGCATGTTCGAATTTGATTAAATTTGACAATACGTATTTGAATGTCAGTTATCATGACAATAAAGCACAGACTACAGTGAATTTTTGTGAATTCATAGAAATTGGGTGGACGAAATTCACTGTCCATCACTGTACCTTTGACGGTACAGATTTAGCCATACCATTTTAATCATTCTCCATTTATCAAAATCATGTCACTTTTTTTGACGTTTAAGTACATTTTGCATTTAAGGGAAAAAAAGTGGAATTGACGACTACTACTTCTAAACAGAAGTAGTTTGTAATCTACCGGAAGTTAACCTAAAACAGTAAAATATTTTTAAATGTTTTTTAGGTTTTACGTGTCTAGAAGGCTTTATTCAGTTATACTGAAATTGTTTATAATTTTTAAATTATCCCTCAAGATGTTAAAACAAAATCAAAACTGAATATTATATGATCACATAAATAACATTCGTGTGGCTATTTATTGCTCGTCCTATATTGATTTCCAATATTTGCTCCTTAAACAAGATTGCTCTCAATTTATCAATACCTCCTTTTCCCCTTTAACAAATCGTTTTTAGATAGGACACCACAACAATTCATCTTTCTTCAATAAAAGAAACGTTGCTCGATTTATATGCCAATCGCGCGTAGTAAGCACACTTTAACGCTTCCGGCTACTTGGAGTTAATTGCCAGCAGTCCTTTAAAAACTGAATTCAACTGAAATATATCTTCGCTATCAATCAGACTCAGAAACAAAACAAAAAAGTTGCCACAATCATCTTTAACTTTTTTCCTTTTTTTATTAATTAAGTTATATTGATCTCAAGAGTCTGCAGCTTATTGTCACCATAATAATGATTGAAAATATGTAAATTCTAAGAGGCATAAGTATTTTACGACTTTGTAAATGCTACAGTACGCTTGAGACCTGGAGATAATCTCGTTTTATGATACCGCTGTGTAATTTACGTTTTTACTCACTTCTGTAATTTGCCACATAATTAAGACATACACGGCGAAATTTAACTCCGTCTAGTTTTGGTCTAAATAAATTTACCACCTGCTTTTGGAATAATTATACAGGCTGTTCCGGTTAAACTCCACATTAGAAGTATTAGGAGTTCTAACAATGATATTTATCTAAAATTTTATTTATAGCCACAATCGGTTATGTTCTGCTCAATGAAAATATTTTCATTTATTTTCTTCCTGTTACAACGGAAGTGGATATCAACTTTGTTATGTTAAATAGAAAGTTATGTTTTTTATTGCGTTGTTGGATTACTCAAGTGATTTTGAGAGAGTTTCCATTAGCCTTCCCTATCTATACCTAAGTTTAACCGTTTTCGAAATATTTAGACCTTAAAAATGATTGGATTTTAATCTTCCTATTCAAAAATCGATAATTCTACCATCTTTTTATTATGTTGAAATCGATACGAAAAGAATAACACAATTGTGAAAAAAACTTGGCGTTTTTTCAGTGAGAAACTATGGCAAACTATGCGAAAACTACCATGGGTAGTAATGAATTTCTTCCAATGTAAAAAAAAGTCAAAATAACTTGGAAATCATTAAATTTAGGTATAGGGATGATACAGATCTATGCAGAATTAAACTCTCTTTCATTTAGTGAAGAAAAAATTGTGGCCTTCTATTAAAAAAAAAAATAATTACGGGTATTTGAAGTTTCCCAAACGTAACCTTAAATTTTGGATATTTGTTAATTATTTTTCCATTTAAAAATACACGAAAGAAAGGATCTAACCTTTCTTTTTCATATGCCCAAATACGATTTCAAAATAACAAAAATGGTAGTTATCGATTTTTAGAGAGGAAGATGCAAATTAAATGAATTTCAAAGAAGTCTAAATATTTCAAAAACGATTAAATTTAGGGAAGGAAAGTCTAATAAAAACTTTCTCAAAATCACTTGAGTAATCCAAAAAACGCAATAAAAAACATAGCTTTCTATTTAAAGTAACAAAGTTGATACCCATTTCCGGTGTTACCGGAAGTGCTGCTATCTTGAAAATGTTTTCATTGAGCAGAATCTAAACGATTATGGCTATAGTTGAAATTTTAGATAAATATCACTGTTAGAACAATACTTTTAATGTGAGGTTTAGCCGGAACTTGTCACTTTTATGGATGACACTATTAAAACTTGACAAACATATAAACAAAACAAAAATTAAATCTTAAATAATAATACATTGACATTTCAAGGGAGGTACAGGGGATCAACGTCTTCTTGCACACGAGATAAAAAACATATGTTAGTTAAAATTGTTGAAGCATGTTTCACTATCTAGTCCCAGCTTAAGTCTAAATAATGTAAAAATAATTACGATGTGACGTAGAAAATATACAAACTTACCTAGATTGTTAATAACAAAATATGAATTTAAAGAGTATAATACCATTTTGAAAATTATTTAAAAAAGTTCAAAAGTGAGCGAAGAAGTGAAGCTTCCTCGATCACAGTGTTAAAACAAATGACCGAATGCATAAATAAAACTTTTAAATAAAATTTGACAAGTAATTTGGTGAGAAATAAAATAACTAAGTAACTAAATTGAACAATTTATATTTGCTTTTAACGTTGTGCAGTTCTCACTTTATATTGAAATATCTTTGAAACGGTCTATTTTAGGGGTATTAAAGGTATGATCAACAAAAAATTAGTTTTAAGGGAGCAAAAAAACAGAAAAACAGAAAATGAGACCTGCAACTGCAGGAACCGGAAATTAAGTACATGTATACGGTTTTTGTAATTACCAGTTTAAAAGGTATGTTCTCGTAAGTAACTGTTCTAGTGGTTCCGAAGTTATTACAAAAAAAAAAAAAAATTCCATACCCCAATTTCGAGGTTTGTAAAATTCTTATCAGCAGAGATAGGAGACGAGTTATTATTTAAATTAACATCATTTTGTAGATCATTTTTGAGGTTTAAATATTGCTTTATATTTATGAATAATCCTATATACACACAATCAATGGGTGATTTTAATCAAACAACAGGGAAACCGAAATGTCTCGAAAATCCGAGACATAAGTTTCACTGTCAATTCCAAAAACTGAAGACATGTTGCAACTTTATACTCAATGTTTGCCGATAGAAAAAAAGAAATTACTAGGGCTGTTGTCACTTTGTAAAAGTAATAATATCCATTCGATGTTTCACAGATTTTATGAATCCCTCTCTAAAAAGGCGAATCTGCCGTGAAGACAAAAAATTCTGGGCAAAAATCTAAAAACTCCAAAAAAGCCATAATTAACGACGAAGAAAATGAAGTCATTTTCTGACGAGGATCTTTCAAACGAAGGTGCTGAAGATTATGATATTTTGTATTAAATCAACTATCAGTATAGGTACCTATATTTTTTGAATAGTATCTTTTATTTACTAAAGAAATTCCAACGAAAACTATAGTAACTCATGTGGGGCCCAAAATACAAAAACAATGAGAAAAATTTTCTTTGAATAAACAATTATTTACCAAAATTTAGACCCTCAGCAATTTTTAATAATATTAAACAGTTCCTTGATTTTTATTAACAATCAAAAATTCAATGCAATTTTTCTCAAAACTGTAATTTTTGACTTACTATAGTTTTCGTTGGGAAAGTCGATATGTTATAGCTTCACCAAAATCCACCTTATTCAGATTATCAGACTACCTGAATTTTATTGTCCTGGGTTTTTTACCATTTTGAATACAAAACAGAGAAAAAGAGATTCACACCTCTCAAGTGCAACCCGATTCTACATAACATAAATGTGTTAAAAGCAAAGATGTGTCCGATAAAAGGCTGTTTATTGCTTTATATCCAAGTAAATATATTTCAAATAATAAATAGGAAACTCAAGTTGCTTATTTAA